CCCGCGACGGGGCCCAGGCGCAGGCATGCAGGTACGTTTGCCTGGGGTGCAGGGGAGAGCTTCGTTGGACGGAGCTCCCCTGCCCCCCCTCCGTCCCCCTGCAAAATGGAATGAAAAAGTTGCTCTGTCAGTCGCCAAGTACAGGCGTGCACACACACACAGAGACACACACACACACACACCCACACGCACGCACACACACACAGACACAGACGCGGACGCGGACGCGGACACGGACACGGACACGGACACGGACACGGACACGGACACAGACACAGACACAGACACCGACACCGACACAGACACAGACACAGACACAGACACCGACACCGACACCGACACAGACACAGACACAGACACAGACACACAGACAGACAGACACACACAGACAGACAGACACACACACAGACAGACAGACAGACACACACACACACACAGAGACAGACAGAGACAGAGCCAAGCAGTTTCAGGCACCGATCCCTACAAGGCCCGTATGCGTCAGAAGGTAGCAAGACTTTCTCCACTGCCTACTGTGGACGGGCTACTACCTGCAAGGTTTACACTGACGGTTTCAGAGTATGGGTGAAAGGGCATTGGCAAGCGATTGTTGCACACTTTTCAGCGATGACGTGATGCTGTAAGCCGTCGTTTCAATGCTAGTGATTGTTTGACACACATTAATTGAGCCAGCAAAATCTTGGCGAACACATTGCAGCCCACAGGACCCTAAACCCGAACTGATGACAAACTGTGTTGGACATCCGTTGTTGGCAGGGAAGACGATGACCATACGCCGGCAAAGGCCAACTCGCAGATTGAGACGCGCGAGGGTTTCCCTAGTTCGCAGCACATGCCGCCATGCCAGGTCGAAGGCACTAAGATGGCATCCTGTGATTTTCCACTTTGCTGGAGTAAGCGGAAGGTCATTGCGGATGTCTAGCTAGTTCAAGAAGTTCCAGTCCGGCTCCGGGGTTGACCAGTCATGATTCAGCTTTTGATTCAGCAGCAAGACGATGCTTAAAAGCATCCCGGAAGCCGTGGGACAACCCAGACTGACCTGCCAGCTGGAGGCCAGCCCAAGGGGCCCAACGACGCAGGACTTCCAGTCCATGCTGGAGCTCGTCGGGTCGAAGGTGTCCGGGTTTGTCGAGTTTGCCGTCTGGAGGGGAGGGATGTTATGTGGGGCAGAGCAGGCGTGGGGCAGTGCATCCTGCAACTGGTCTCGCTTGGATAGTGCAGATGTTGCTCAAACCTTTACAGATCAGAGTCGCTAGATTTGCAGCAGAGGCAGCCGCGAGATTCACCTCCTTGCAGCAGTGCTTCCGAATGGCCTCCCGTCAAGAAATGTGTTTCGTAACAGCCAATGCCATCTTGCAAATCTCTGGAACAGAGGGCCTCGATGGAACAGTCCGTAGTCCACTGTCAAGCACTGAGGACTAGCTTGACGCGTAGGTCGGCTCTAGTCGATGTATTGCGGGATTGCAGGAGCGCTGCAACACTGGCATGGACTGCAATTGAACCCAAACGTTTTGGATATTGGTATCACGTTGTGATCTGTCTGGTGTTGGCATGAACAGCTTCAGGACCACCAAAGTCCAGGCTCGAGCACAAGGGAGTGAGTATGAGCATGGCTTTTCAGGCCTCCTTGGGCCAATCAACAGTCACCACGACACATGGCAGAGTTCCTTGCTGCAATGAAGATGACAAATCAGGATTGCTACAGGCTACAGGACAGGTGCCATCCAGTAGTATGTGAATATGGAGAAAGACACGAATTGCGACAGATCTGGTACGGAATGTCCGGCAGTTTTGTGAATTCCGAAGAACCAACCTCAGGCCATGCTCGAACTTTTGGAGCAATGCGATTAATTACCTTCAACAGAGTTTTTTGGAAATAAGAACCGCTGTTATACGCAGTGCAGGAAATGACTAGGGTGCTGCGGTTGCTAAAACAATACCCTAGGTGCCTTAAATATTACTGCAAAGATTCTGACACTGCTTCGCACTGCGTTACGGAATCGAAGATGAAGCTTGTTCTGCTGAGCTTGCCTACACAAATTGACCTGGATATCTGGAAGACCCATACAATGCTGCACCTTGCTGAGTTGGATGCCGACCACAATGGCAGGGCCACGAGCCGAGAGACCGCCTTTGCTTCGGGGCGTTGGCAGTTCGTTCTCGCGAGGCAAGCTTTCATTTACCATCCTGCCAAATCTCGATATTTCTTCGGGCTCCCTTTTCTCGCAATGTCGAGCTGCTGCGATAGTGCGCCCCCGACACCTGCAATGTCAAGCAACAGCATGGATGCCAGGAAGAACAAGCATGCTAGTTCCTACGTCATCCAGAGAGTACATAGTTGTCCAGAGGGTAAGCTTGCCTGTATCATGGTCAGGCATGACGCATATCACGCCAATGAGTCCTTCATCGCTTATGTTGGCTCTGACTAGTCGGAATACATAAGTTTTTCTTGAAGACCAAAGAACCACGCGAGCTGGGCTTCGAGCTGAAACTACCTGAAACTCGTCAAAGCTGACTGACTTCAAAACCTGTGCTGTGGAAGCGGCCATGGATGGTCCGGCGGAAAGTCCGGTTGCCTCAACCTTTCGAGATGCTCGCGCAGAGCTACAGAGCCCCGATAGACGATAGACTGTGTCTGTTGCGGGGATTTCGGAAGACTCGGGCTGTGGTGTCTGTCGCGGTCGATTTGAACGACGGTGACTGTGGTAAGTCTCGGGGGCTTGGCTTAGAACGGGCGTGGCTGGGCATTGCCTGAGAGCTGTAATCCCCCGAGCGGCCTGAACTGTACAAAGCGTCCAAGTGCCACGTAACAAAACCGAAGGCCGTTTGTCCCAACAAGGTGAAAAGCCTGGAGCTAGTCTTAAAAAGGGTCTGGGACCTCTAGGAGTCCAGAAGAGTTCAGAGTTTATGAGAGTTTAAGGAAGCTCCGAGCTCCTGTGCGCCCCGTGCAAAGGAATGCTCTGTCTGAGCTGCAAACCGACCTTGCGAGGGTGCTCGAAGAGAAGGCGTTTGGGTTCAGATTTTTAGAGCGTTCTTCGAGATTCGGCCCCCGAATCTCAGTAGTTGCCCAAAGTCTGGTGGCTTGTCGATCCGAGGATCGACCCTTCTGTTGTCTGTTGGTCAATGGCCCGAACAAGTCACCGGATCCATCAGTGGACAGTGGACCTAAGAAGAACTAGAAAAGGTGTCGATGCTAGCTTTCGCTTCTTTAAGTTTTGATTCGGAGATCAGTGGCCTAATCTATTGCTGAAGCGAGACCGGAAGGCTTTGGGATGGACACGTCGCCTGGAAACTTGCATGCAAACATGAGCACCCCAAACACCGAGCACCTGCATCATAGGACAGAACCCCCTACATACCGAGGCTTGACCCCAGGCGTGTCGTCTTTGCATTCATGTACTTCAGCGTCATTTGCACTCGAAGGTGTCCGACTTCCAGATGCTTCTGGCGGAGTTGCCATCCGAGCTTCCGGCGGGAATTCCCATTGTCCCTGCGCCCTCGTAACTCTTTTGCAACGTGTGCCTGCGTTTAGAATCTTGAGGTCTTAATGGTCTCATCACGTCACCAAGACGTAGCTTTGCGCGAACTCATGGTGACACCCCCTGCGACCGATAGAGCCTGGTCCTCAAGTTCATGAGCCTGACAGCATTTTCTCCGAGGCCCAAGCGCGACATGACAAAGGAGTTGATGGAAACAGGTCCTGCGGTCGAGAAGGCGGTTCGGATTGAGGCAGAGATGTGCTGCGTGTCTTTTCCATCAGCACAAGACACAGGGCACACAGCAGCTGGCCGTGTCTTTTGACAGCAGGGCCAAGGGGTCGAGATTGGGCCGATGCAGAAGTTCGTCTGCGGTAAATCAGCGCTAGAGCCTCCCCTTCCCGATCGGGAGCTTGTGGTTCTCTCATATCGAGTTTCCAGCCCGCAGGGCATGGAGCTACACTCCGGCACATCCGCACCTCGATCATCCGCCCGATCCACCAGAGCCAGTGGCATGAGGACCCTGGAGCAGGAACTCTTCGTGTCGAAGTGGCTTGGCCGCTGTAGCTGTGTTTGACACTTTGACTTCAAGCGTTTGGACCGTCCGCTCTGCTTTCTGAGTCCAAGGAAGGCTGCGACGAACTCCCAGCGAAATTTCCGGTGAGCCTGCACGACTTCAGAAACGTCATGGTGATCCACTTCAGTGCACATGTTGAACATCGATATAAGTCTGACAGCCTAGAGCAGGGTCAACTCCGAGATGCCGCAACGGGCCCAAAATGCATTTTAATTCCTGAACTGCTGACCCAAACTTTCTGTGGCATTTCGTTGCTTTGTCGAGAAACCCCGGCTCAAATGGGATTGAGCAGGATCACCCAGCGCCTCAATGCTCAGCCACTGTAGGCACCGCAATAGTGTTCAACCCTGGCTCCGCACAGAAGGCATCTCTAGGGATGTTACGATTACAAGGAGAGTTGGGGCTGTAGAAGTCTTGGCGCAGAGAGAGAGGGAGAGAGAGAGCGAGTCCTTTATGCCCTCAAGAAAGAGATATGCATGACTGCGTGCTGCAATTGTAAACACGTAGACATGTAGACATTATGAAAAATGGCACAAGTAAACAAAAAAGCATCCGTGAATACATAGGCAAACATATGCGCGACTGCATAGAAGAAACACATAGATCGATAAATACTTATATGCCTATATCTATCGAAACTGTCCGCAGGGGCGAGTTGGTAAAAGGTTGCATTCATGGATCCGGGGCACTGGTATGACAGGCGCGAGAAGTCGTACGTCGGCTACGTGCAAAAGGGCCTCTTGCCGGATTCCTGCCGGTGTGTGTTTGAGCTGTCCCGGGTTTCGGGCTCATAAACATGCGTGTGCAAGCTAATTAGCACCTTGCCCCTGATCCCTCCCCCTGTCCCACAAAGTATAGATTTTCAGGAAGTACATGAGTAGAAGCTCATTAAGTCGTGCTTAGGAGTTTAGGAAGCATGGTTTGGGGCCTAGGGTTTTCTTGGTGCCGGTCCTGGACTGTGTACTCAGATTCAGGGTGGCATGGGATTAAAGGTTCCACACTTGCAAGGGTAGCATGGGTGGGAATGGGCTATGAAGAGAGGATCGCGAAGAGGTTTCCCGGCAGGTGCCTAGGGGCATAGAGTGTGGTAGTTCTCGCTGACGGATCGCCTCAAGGCTCTTTCCTCGGACTCCTCGTGGATTCTGTTGGTTGCAGAGCTGGACTCAGTTGTGAGAAGGTGTGCTTTGCGAGGTGGGGGGCACTGAAAGCTCCGTGCTCCTGCCCCTGCCCTCAGGATCATTCTTCGAAGGAGCCCTTGGAAAAGCGCCTCGGATTATCTCAGATTCTTCTTTCCAGCACCAGTTCTCTCTGAAACCTGCAAGAAGATTCCAGCTTTTGCCAAAAACTCGGCTGGTGGGGCTATGGTCAATAGCTTGATTTCATGAGGCCATCCAATAAGTTTGCAGGGGAAGAGCATCCTGGACCTGTTCAGATGCCGGGTCTGCAAACGCATAATTCTTCAGGCTGAAGAGTCATGACTTGTCCCATCCATCCATCAGTGCGTCACGCTCGCATCCGCGCAGCAAGGCGGACTTAGCAAGAAATGGCATTGCAAGCCGAAGTAGCCAGCAGAAGCCAGCAACCGCAAGGACCGGCAAGGTTTTATCAGATCATGCAGAGAGCACGCTGTTCACCCCACAGCACCGGCTGTTTTCTTGATGAGCACGCTTCCATTTACTTCAGATTGTGGCCATACCTCATACTCATTTCCGCATCTACGAAGATGACGAGCTACAGGAGCCTCTTTGTGAAAGCCCTGCACATGCCCTGTTATAAAGGTTCAAATGATAACCCCGCAGTGCCTGCAGGGTACAATATGCCCCAAATCATTGATAGAAGGAGTTCATTCTAGCGTATCTGCATTCTTGCGGCGGAAATTCAGCACCCTACTTTGCCGGTATGGTTTGAGCAGGTTTGTTTCACTGATTGCGAGCATTTATTTTCGGAATGGCAGGCATAGATGGGTACCTTGCCCTTGACTTCAACATACTTCAACACTTCCCCGGGAGAAACCATCGACTTCGTAAGGTGGACCAGCTGCGTGCGCTGCAGGCGCATGCGCCCAAAACCTGCAGAGTTCAGTTCTGTGTTCCTTGCAGCGACACCTCACGTGCTGCTCTGAACCGGGCCACACCCCGAGAGGGACGGGAGGTGCTTGTCCTCAGAACTTGTGTGAGTGACTTTGCGTAGCCTTGATTCTTGGCCAATGCTGTTTCAAAGTAGGGAACTGACCTTTTCCACAAGTACTTGCCCTGGTTCTTTCACCGCACTTGTGCAGGTGGGTGGGTGGGGGGACACCTTAGACCAGAGAGAACTAGAGGGCATCGCCTTGCAAAGAGATACACGACTCCAAACGCCGAAGCACACACAGAGCTCCATCAGTTGAACCTTCAGCTGCAAGGTGCATTGAAGTGTATTATTGCAAATGCAAGCGAAGCGACCGAGGCCACTCACCCGGGCCTAGGGCGAGCAGCAGTTGGAACATTCGAAGTATTTGAGCTTGCAGCCGCTCTGCAAAGTGTACGGCCTTCTGGCGATGAATCAAGCCCCAAACGTTTGGAATTTGTACGGCTGTCAACACGAAGTTTATATGCTCTTTGCAGTGCATTGTATCGCACAGCCTTGACTTTTTGGAGTGGGCCCCGATTGCTGGGAGTGGCGAGCCTGTGAATCTTTCGCCGGCAGGAGCCTCCCCGTAGCGGCTGCTGTGCGAAGTTGGTGCGCTCATCCGCCTTCCAGTTCGCCCGGAGCCCGCAAGAGGTTGGAAGGTCGAGCAGAGGTTGTGGTCTTCTGACTTCCACGTTCCAAAGCCCTTTATGGACCTTTGTGGGATATTGCGGAGCCCGACACAACAGCAGTCAAGAAAGGCAGGTTCACCATAGCAAAGCCGGAAGGCCATGAAGCTGGCATGCCGTGTTCTGTTGCTGGCCCTACCTGTCCAGGCATGCTTTTGTGCTACGAGAGTTCAGTCGCACCACATAACACGGTGCTGTAGTTGTATCGGTAGGCCAACAATTCTGGCTGCAGGGCTGTAAGGGGGTCCTTTTCTGTATGTTTCTGTACAGTCTGGAACTGTAGTGACAGATCAGCCCACAGCCGAACCAGCTGCAAGGTCACGACCGTTGTCATTATGGCCAACTGCCTGACTCTTCTGATCTCAGCGAGCCTTGCTTCATGCAGACCGGAGTTCGCACAGCATTATCTCATTCGTTGCATATGGCGATGCAGAGACCCAACTGATGAGAAGCAGTGGCCATCAGACCCGGTGCACACAGCAGCGGCTGCCCGCATCCACATGCCGGGAGGAATGGAGAGAGAGAGAGAGAGAGAGAGAGCGAGAGGGCAGGGGGGGAAACCTTCCTGCCCATAACCCTGCCGAAAGAAAAAAAGAGCGAGAGGGAGAGCAGTCATGTCTCACACCGACAAACCAGACACGGACTGAGGCCTGGTGCGCTTCTGCGCAGGGGGTAGGGAGCCTGCTTCCCTGTCCCCAGACGCCCCGCAAGCAAGCAAGCAAGCAAGCAAGCAAGCAAGCAAGCAAGCTATGATAAGCAAGTGCTAGCGGCTAGCGGCACTCGAGCGAGCCATGAGTAACCCGGAATATCGCTAGAAATGACACTGCGCAGGCTAAACGCTTGTTATCCATGTAGCTCTCGGCATGTTGAGACGATGAGGATGCAGTTAATGTGTTACCAAACACACACACACAAACATCAGTGCCAAGAACATGCTACCAACATGTGCCATTACAGGAATTGGGCGATGGAAAACCAGAGCTTCGACATCCCCCAGGAGTTACGGTACTTGGACCTCGGATTTACCATCTTCTATGCGGCTCGGCTGCTTGGGAGAAGCCGTGTGTTTGCCGCCATAGTGAGCTTCGTGTCTGTGGCCTTGACAGGGGTTCACAAGTAGACTTGGGCCGGTGACAGGCGCCCGCGCTTTGAGGAAGGTTCCTTGGTCGATGGAGTGCCTATAGGTGCCAGTGTCGCGAACAAACTATCAAAATCACCTGAAGGCGGGTCACGTTTGCTTGGCAACTTAAGTGGACTTGAACTAAAGATAGTGGGGCAGATGAAGCGACATGTTTAGGCTTGATCCCAGTCTCGGTTGCACGACGAGACATCCAATCACGATCGTCTGAATTCTGATACTTGGAAACAAACCAGCCTCAGGTATTGGAGCTGCTCCTGAAGTAACCGTGTCGCAAATTATTCAGTGCGGGTATTCGTGCGCTGCATTTGCAGGTTGTGGAGCTTCTGAGGTCGAGGCAGGTAGGCCATGTAGGCATTCCGGAGGGTATGTGACTCTGCAGCGCCGAAGAATGGTTTAGAGAGAGAACACGCTAAGTGACTGTGGCCAGGTTCTTCGTCCATCGGCTCTTTATCTTTTGGCGCGAGGACTGGAAGTGGAACGTTTTCGATTCTCGGCTTGGATTGGGGGGCCTCTGGACAAGACCGAAAGCCCCCGGCCGCCTTCATGTGCCTATGAAAGCAAGGGTGGTGCTTGCAGAGAGTTTTTTTTTTCTGCCGTGGGCCATGTGTTTTGGTGTTGGAGTTTGCCAGTCAATCACGCGGCAAGGAAGGAATAACTCCACAAACAGAGAAAGAAAAAGAAGCAAGAAGGAAGAACAAAACGTCAGGAACAAAATACATAGAGAACTGCGAAACACAAAGATATGCACGACGACAGCAGCGACAGACAAGTGCAGACATCATCTTCGAATATATATATATATATGTATATATTATGTATATACAAGACTTAGAGAAAGAGATGATAAAGCCGTGAAGGACTAAGAAGGTGAGAACTAACCAAAACTTAAAGAACGGCAGCCAACCTAAGTCATAAGAAACACTGGAAATAAATGACGACAGGGAAAACCAACGACCGAACACATATGACGGAAGCAAAAGAACAAAGACATACATACAGAGATAAGGAGAAGGGAAGGACGGAGGGGAGGAAGGGAGCAAAAAAGGGCTAATGAGTTCATCAATCGCCACCGCTTGAGGGGCGAGAGTAATGAGGGGCGTGTTTAAGTAATATGAACAGCTGTCATGGGCTGAGGGGTGAGTTTAAGAAATGTGATGTGCCGCCATCGCCCCATACTTGCGATCAACGGGCATCGCCTGATGAGGGGGAGGGTGTACGAAACGCCCTCAACTGCATCACCGAAGTTTCGGGCCAGTCTTTGTGATAGCCTGCATTCGAGCATACCCTGCTACCGCTGTCCTGAAACAGCTTGTGCGAAGCTTGCTATGAAACACCTGCTGAACTACCCAGATGAATCTTTGCGCCAACAGTCATTCCAGCATGGTTTTTGCAAATGGAGAGGGCTGCCTCCCACCTGCAGCTATTTTGGAAGCCTTGCAAGGCTTTCATCAGGAATCTCACTACCATTGGCTCACTACTACTTACTCTTACAGTATTACTTCATCGCTAATGTTGTTACTATTGCTACGAATGTACGACGACGACTTCGTCTGAAAATGAAACTTTCTTCCCCAATTAGCCTAAAATAAGACTACGGCGAAACAGCAGCGTTTAGATGGGATTCCCGAATGGCTTGCCGCAAGCAAGGCCGCCCCGCACCAGCAGAACAAAAGGCGCAACACACATCTTCACCCATGCTTGCATCCCAAGGATTTCGTGCTTGTGGCGATGGCTGTGCAAGAGCAGGTGGTGGAGTTCCTCCTCCAAAATGAGGCAGATGAATGTACACAGCATGTCACAGCTTGAAACTTGTCTGCAGGTTTTCTTCGCATTGCCTTCGCAGGTTTTCTCATGGTGTTCACGGCCCGGAAGTCCGTTCACGTTGCAGTGTCTAGTACTGAATGGGCCAGGAAGCATGCTGCAAAGTTAGGTGGTCCCCGGGTGCTGCAAACTTGTAGTGGTAGGCAGCATGGACTGACCCAAGACGTAGAGCTCTTTGCAGGCGGGCACGGTGACGAGACTGTCGTACATGCGCTCTCTGCGGGTGGCGCGAGTGTCCAGGATCCTCCGCTTGACCCCTGGCTATGATTCGCGGTGAGACTCCAGTCAACGAAGGGCTTTGTCGTAGCCTTGTTAAATTGCAATCGTTTCGCAATCGTCCCGAACCTTCAGCTCCTCCCATTCCGAGGCTTCGAGTTTCTATAACGAACCTCCAAAGTTTTTGGTTCAAGGGGCAAACATTAAATGGGAAGGGTCTTTGCCTGTTTCATACGCTGGCTACGGATGCTTAGGGGAGCTACAACGCTTCAAGCTTTATTATCATTGCTGTGGTCTTCGGACTTGCAGGGCTAGTGCGGACATGTCGACTGTTTCCGTTTTGATAGTGAGGGCTCGGCATGGAAGTATAGTTCGCAAGATTGCATTGCGGCGTTCTTGCATCCACAGGCTAAGAGCGATCCGCGTGATCCGCGAACTTCGCATGATGGTCTTCTCCATCATTAGTTCCTTTACGGCTTTGTTCTGGTGCTTTGGCTTGACTTACGCAAGGTTGTGGGTAGTCAGCAATGTAGAGCGATGTGCGAAGCTGGTCTGCTTGGAGGGGCGTCATATGTACTAAGACTAAGAGCATCAACAAAAGGCCAACCCTCCACATGCCCCGCGCCTCCTGACAACGAGGTGCTTGGTCCTTATCTCCTTGGTTATTTGCGTTTTCGCTCTGTTCTTCCTCCAGATATGCACCGACTACCTGATTGTGGAGCGAGACTCAATTGGCGAAGATGTCTATACTGACTTCCAAAGAACATTTGGATCGCTCACGAAAACGATGCATCTTGGCGGCTTTTGCTTGGCCACAAGTTCTTTGGCGGTGGTGCTGGTCATGCGAGTGTGGCGGTCATAAATGTTGGTGCTTGACGGCGTGGCTATAACACCACGAGTTCGGGGAACGCCAGAGTCCGTCGGAGGTTCGTGGGGAGTTCCTGAGCGTGAAGAAGCGAGACAAATCAGTGAAAGAAACAGCGACAGAGAGAGGGAGATAGGGTTTAGGAGGGGTGTTTGTTCGGGATGGGTGACCAGGTGCAAACAAGGGAACTGAGCTGTTCCAACCCCAGCAAGCAAGAGATAGTCCCCGAGCTGACCGTTGCCTCCCCCCGAAAGCGGGCCTGACTCGCCCCATAGACCCGAAGGAAGAAGAGAGAGAGAGAGAGAGAGAGAGAGGCGAGAGGGATTTCCCCTTCGCTCATAACCCTTCCGAAAGAAAGAGAGACGAGAGACAGAGAGAGAGAGAGAGGTCCTACCCCAAAGCAAAGCAAAGAGAGAGGGAGAGAGAGAGAGAGAAAAAAAGAGAGAGAAAGAGAGAGAGAGAGAGAGGGAGAGAGAGGGACAGAGAGAGAAAGAGTGAGCGCAGGAGCGAGCGAGCGAGCATTCGCCTTATGCCCCTAGCAAAGCAAAGAGGGAGCGAGAGAGGCACACTCATGCTCTCTCGTGGCTAATGCATGCAACAGTAAAAGCAATTGGCATTGATGTTCGACCAACGAGTTCTTGTGCCGCTTCTCCCAGTAAGCTCAGAAGACTTTGTAGACCCGGTAGGCCCTCTGAAAACGGAATTTAAAAAAAATGCAACAAGGACTACCCTTTACCTGGCCACGACCGGTGGCTTCGACTGGGAGCGCGCACTCTCCCTGCTACTGAGCTGCGCTTGAGAAATTCCGTGGCGGCCAAGGGAGAGGTACCAGAGTTGCATGGGAGTGGCACTTGTCGCGTAATGATCTCGGGTACCAGGAAGCATCCTCTGATGTGAGAGAAGACCGGCCTATTCCCCCGAGTTGCATGTTCGTTTGCGTGCCCGTTTTCCAGCCCTCGCCATTCCTCAATC